TAGTTGGTACGACAAACTCACGAAATGCCTTAATACCATGTACGTACACTAAGCCCGAACGTGTGATGTCAGACTAATAAGTCCCGCACAATCACGCTATAAGAGACGCACGAGGCATGATCTCTTACGCATGCATATGATGTGATATGCTTCAATATGAATGATGAAATGAATCATATGATATGAACAATTTGTAAACAATATGAATATATAATCATGCATTAATTGAGCTACTAGGCTCAAGACGGTCGACCGTTTGACACGGCAGTCGACCGTGCTTGTAACGCCCTAGAAACTGGTCTAGTAGTTTATCAATAATTAAATAAATATAATTATTTATTTACAAAAATCTATTCTTTTAAAGAATTAAAACATATTTTAGAGATTCTAATTGTCTCAATGTAATGTGACTAATCTGATTATATTTGTAAAGATTTAAATTAAAGGACTGATCAGTACCAATTTTTCGAAAGAATTAAGATGGACCTGGTGGAACGTATAAATGTTTGTCAACTGAATATAAAAGTTATATCGTTGGGTAGGGATTGACGAATCAAATCCAACGACAGGAACGGATCTCAATTCGGAGCATGTTGGCCCGGAAAGTATGTTTTACTCACACACATTATTTTAAAATACGAAGTTCAAAACCCTAGGTACATAAATACATTTTCTCGCCTCCAAGCCGCAACACTGTTCTTCTTCTTCTTTAATCTATCGCCGCCTCACTCTCTGCTCCTTATCTTTCTGATTGACGATAGTCGCCGCCACGTGCCCCTTTCTCCGACCCAGCGACGCAACCGCAGGAGAGGAAACTCGAATCCCTGACTGGGACAAGGTAGCGGTGACGCTGTGGGATTTCTGGCGAGAGTAGCGACGACCTCCAATCCAGCAAAAATCCAGCGACGAACTCTAGCACAATGGCGGGTCCAGGCGACGCGGCCACCTTATAGCAGCGACCTCACCCCCTAGCGAGCAGCACAAACAGTCCCCTTCGGGAACCTCTCTCTCTGCCCCGGCGAGGTCTGCGATGGTGGTGACCTGGTGGGTGAATCAACGACCTCCGCGCATCGGCGACAGAGTTCGGGCAACAAGTAATTCCAGTTTGTAGCAATTGAACCGGCGATAGAATTGACTCTAATGTTTTCTAGCGACCTTCGTTAACGGCGGTAGTAGTCCCGCGAGGGGTCCTATGGCAGCAGCATCCGGATCGCACTAAATTGGGGCAGCAGGCTGAGTTCGGACAGTGAATATGTTCGGACGGCAGTGGCGATGGTGCCGTGGCAACCTGACGACCGACCCCGATGACGGTACACAGGCGACTCCCTCTTTTGGATTGAACCAAATCGTATCGAGGTGAGTACGTGGGCATCTAGCACTAGAATACACATATATGTTTGAAATTCCGTTTATAGTTATTATTGTGATTGATCTGCGTGAATTATGTGACTGAACTGTTTGATGGTGGTTTGGGGGACTATGCCGATTGAAAAGGGTAGTATGCATGACTTAGGTGCTGATTGATGAAATAACGTGCGTGATAATATTTAGAATGGTAATATGTACTCATTGGTGTATACTACTATGAGATTTCTGTTGGTTTGGCGCTGGAAAACGAAACAGGTAAAAAGCTAGAATTTCTTGTGTTAGACGGTAGGAGGTATCGCTGGGACGGTACCGTGCTACCAGCATACACTATCACTTCTTTCACCTCTGCCGGTAGTTGTGACCATACGGTACTTAGGTACCGGACGAACGGTAGGCCCTACCGCCCGGTCGGTAGACGGCTACCGTGGCAGTCCTACCAGAAGGGTCTAGTTAGCTCGGACGGTACCCCAGTACCGTAGGACCAGTACCCAGGTACCGTGAGGACGGTACCCCGTTTCGTGAAGGGTACCGTCTGGTACCTGATGTCGGGTGTGTCGATGTGTGTTTTCGTCAAGGATTGATTCTGAGACCTTATGTGTTGTATAACGGCAAGTTTGGCTGTCAATACCCGATTCTAGGCCGCTATGTGTTATGATTGTGATTGCTCTCTGTTGATCCAACACTTATGTGAATTGACATTATTCTAGTGATCCAACCTCGAATTTAATAATAAGAGCAGGCTGATCCAGCACACGAAGCACAGGTTACATGGGTGTTAATCCAACCCCATGAGCCAATGTAAGTCTACCTAGAGGAACTCTAAGACTGACTCAAGTACTGCTATTAGGAAAGTCAATGTATAAACCAGGTGGACGCCTGCTGGGCTCCAATGGTTAAGTTGAACTAGGTAAAAACGTACGTACGGGTATCCTTGAACTGCCTGGTGATCCATCATGTGGGGATTCCACCCACCCAACGGAGAACTCCTTCGTTGGTTAAGCATGACCCGCTGATCCAATGGGAACCCTCATGTCTCCCATACAGTATAGTTATAGTCCTTAGACTAGCTTAGTATAATTAATAGGGACAAGTTCTTGGTGATCCACCAACCGTGAGAACTCCCTCGTTGGTTGAGCATGATCCGCTGATCCAGAGGGAACAATCATGACTCCTAAAAAAGTAGTATGTCCTTAGGTCTAGTGTAGAGTTCCAGCACAGATGAAGAATGGAAAAAGGCAGGTGCCAGGTAAATTATATGATGAATTGTTTATGTGAACTGCATGATATTAAACCTATGTGCATGATATAATGTTATGATTATGAATTAGTGGATTCGCATGTGTGTATGTTCAAACTGTTAGATATTTCTCACTCAGCTTTGTTGTTGAGCGTGTAGCCTTTTTCCCCTTATTACACGTAGGTAATCATGGAGGGGTTGACCTTGAAATACATCCTAGAGGGCAGTAGGACGGAGGAGATGTATGGATGCAGGGATTTAAAAATGTTTGAGTAAATTATTAAGCTTCTGCACTGTTTGTATAAACTCCGATATGTATTTAAATGGTTTTGTATTATTTAGTTTTAAATTAAATGTTTTTATTTATTGAGAAATATTGTATGTGGATACCAATCTAGTAGCAACCCGGTTCGCTAACCTATTTATTCGGGTTACGCGGGTTGGGGTGTTACATTTTGGTATCGGAGCATATGGTTTTAAAATTGGTCTTTGGACCATTGCAATTACTATTTTGGAAAGAAATAAGTGAAATTAATATTATTTTGATTATATTAGCAATGACAAAATGATATTCCCAAGTACAGCATCTGTATCCTCCACGTCATCTCTGCCCCCCGAAAGGTAATAAGTTATTGTCTTATTGACTAACTGTTTGTGTGGAGCTGATTGCTCAAATTGTTTGAACTGAACCGATTATTCGAATAGTCATGCTGAGCTAATTGCTCAAATATTGTAGAAAGATGATTGCCTTAATGTTTGTGTCAAGTTGACTGTTGGAATGTCTGTGTTGAGCTGTGAATTATTGACTATTGTGCATACTGAAATACTATAGTCTAAGATATGAATTCACATCCTGTAGATGGAACCTACTTACTATAAGTTGAACGTTAGTATGAACTCTGACAATGAGACGTTAGATAACAAAAGAAGATAGCGTAACAATGTACATAGAGTATCATATCTTGTCTGATATTCGATTATCTTATTTGATCACCGAAATGGATAACCAAATTCTGAAGGGGCTACAGACCTTGATGGATGAGGGAGTAGTCTTATTTTGGTATCAAACGAGAATGACCGTATAAAGGGCAAAAAGAACTTGTTTGAATATTAAAGAAAGCAGTACTTTCTACCAGCAAATCATAGTGTAATGATGTTGCTGGATACAAACCAAAAGAACTTGAGGAATGATCTATCTAGAAATATGTTACGCGTCGACGTACCTTGTTGACACGATGAACCGAAAGAAGCAGACCTAAAAGAAGTTACAACATCGACATGTGGATATGTGGTTGTCACTAGGCAATTCAGCGTTGAAGGGTTTCTGGCTCGTTACAAATTCTAAGTAGTAGGCATTGGTGACGCCGATAACGTAAATGGTGACGTTAGTAGAACGTCCCACTCACTCCTGTTAGTATGACTCAAAGAACTGTTTAAAAATGACATCAATAAATCAGAATAAACCCGAGGTAGATAGCCTGGGGCCCATTATCACCCGAGGTAAATAGCCCACTATAGAAAGCCCAAAGTAAGCCCAATATAAAGCCCAACCCCATAAGCCCAAATCTACTTCCCAGGGGGTCACCCATTATTTTTGCTACTCCCATGCCAGCACGCTTAACTCCTTAAAATTCCTCCAAATGTGCATCTTCTAGGGATCGAACCCGAGTGATGTGGTTCGCCAATCAACCTTGTGACCATCTCTACAAGGGGAACTATATATATATATATATATATATATATATATATATATATATATATATATATATATATATATATATATATATAAATTTTTATTGAAAAAAAGGCGAGTACAATAGGGGGGGACTAGGCCAAAACCCCTAGGGAAAGAAAATAACTGGAAGAAAAGAAACTACGCGAAAAGAAAAGTGCATGAAACTGATCATTCCCAGATTATGAAGCCCGGGTGTTCATCGAATGTCCTGTTTTTAGGCATGACTTTTTTTGGCCTTTTCCCGTCTTTTCCAATTGGACCGACAGGGCCTACATACCAAAATTGGCCTGTGTAGCTTTTTGTTGTGATGATGCGTTCCATGGTTGTGGTTTTCCTGCTTGGCCAGTACTTTGGAACAAGGCTAACTATTCCAACTTCGAGAGTGGGATCGTAGTTCCTTGTTGTTACTGTTCGTGGGTTAGAAGGTCTCTTGCTTCTGTTCTTTGTGCTTTTGTGGTGGACTTCCTGGAAGTCATCAAGGTTAAGGTTGGAGGTCCCTTTAGAGTTAAATTGATGAGGAGAAGATCTTTTTTCAATAAAGTCATCAATTTGGTTAAGAGACATGTTCCCGTATCTTCCGGGGTTATTCCTTCGCATATTCTCTAAGACCTCTTTGTATCGTGGATCATTTTCGATTTCTGGATAAAGGAGCTTATCTTGCGGGAATTCTTCTATTGGTGGATCGAGATTTGTTGGTGGCAAGTCTTTATTTTTCAAGTGAAGTCTTTGAGGGTCTGGTGTTTCTTCCAGTGGGCTTTCTGTAGATGCTTTTGTGTCATCATTGATCACCTTGTTGCTTGAGAGTTCAGGTGTAGCATTGCTTATTGTGGAAATATCATTCGAAATCAGATTTTCGTTGGCAATAGATTGTTGTGGCAGTTTTTCAAAGCCTGTAACGCTGGGCAGTGTATTCCTAGAATATTTTTCAAAATCTTGGGTTCCTTTAGTAACAGCTTCAGTAGCAATTTTTGATGCAAAACTGGCTTCATCAATGGCTTTGGCTCCTTCAACTTCAATAGGAGCTGCAGAATGGGTTCCTTCCGTAATAACAGTTCTAGCTGCAGAACCGGTTCCTTCATCAATGGCTTTGACTCTTTCATCAATGGTTTTGGCTCCTTCAACTTCATTAGTAGTTGTAGAATGGGTTCCACCAAAATGGGTTCCTTCCATTTCCTCGATGGCTTCGGCTTCATTTGGAATTTCAGTAGCAACTTGGGCTTCATTAGTTGCTTCAGTAGTATCCTCATCAGGGACAACTGCAGGTTCAATATCAGTGTCTACACCCAACTGAGCATTATTTTCAGCTTCTTCTGATTCTAAGATCAATTGGGCAGTAACTAAATGGGGCTGAATTTCAGTACCCTTGACATCTACAGTTTCTTTTGATGAGGCCTTAGCATCTGTCTTGACCTCCCTTTGGATCCATCTTGAGGAGGAGTGTGATTTTTTGCAGTTTTTGTGACCATATTTCTTACATGATGTGCAGAAGGCAGGAAGGTCTTCATAATGGATGGGTTGTAGAAAAGAAAGCTTCCCTAGGTGAATCCACACAGAGGTTGGCAGTTCCTTGGATAAGTCCAGTTCCACACAAACACGAGCTACTGATGGTCTAGTTAAATGGATTGTAGCATTGTCTGCCTTTAATGGTTTCCCAATCAATTTGGCAATGGAGTAAAGAGCAGAAGAATCAAATATGTGAATTGGTAGACCTTCCATTCCTATCCAGACGGGTAGCAATGGGGATTCAACAGTGGGATCAAATTCAGGAGTCCATCTAAATACATTTAAGGAATAACCATTGATCTTCCAATTCTTACATAGAAGACACCGCAGAAAATCATTGTATGAAACGAAGGTAATCAAAATGTGCTGTTCATCTAGCAAGGAGACAGTAAACGAAGCTTCATATCCAATTTTTTCAAATACCTGACGAATTGTAGCTAGATTTGGTCTACCTTTGCGGAAACGTCCAACCAATGCTAGGTTAAATCGCACAGCCAACCTTTTAATCTCTTCATCAGTAAAAGAAACTGATGGTGACCCTTTAAATCGAGATGCTGGTTTGAAGTTCCCAGATGCTTCGATCTCTCTGAAAGAGATATCACTACAAGAAAGTCCGTATTTTGCCACACTTAAAATTGCTATTCTCCACACATATAAGTGTGGGAGAGAGCGTTCGCCGCACATGTACTAAGTGTGGCGGCTGGCTCTGTGGGGAAATTTTTACCACACTTATATTAAGTGCGGCAAATGAATACGTTAACCACACTTGCAAGTGTTGTTAATATTTTAATTTGCCACTTTTATATGTGTTTCTAATGCACCACACACGAAAATGCGGTAATTTTTACTTGTTTGAAAAAAATTAAAACACTATATATATATATATACATCACACAAAAATATCAACATTTTAAATATTTTAAATTCATAAAAAGCCTATGTGAGACTTGAACCCACATCTCCGTGCACTTTTGCACACGACACTCTACCACTGAGCTAATAGGCTATAAGAAAAATAACTCAAATAGTAACCAAGCGCTTTTGCACATACACGATACTCTAAAAGAGGATTTTGCAGCCCTAGCTAAATGCTACTGAACGAAAAATAACAGTGACCAACAAATTGTAAACATCCGAAATCCTAATAACAAGTTTGCTAGATCAATCTTGAACTATTCTGTCAAACCTCTGAGAATTTCAGGAACATCCCTTTTAAAAACCAAGTAGTATCAAAAAGTTAGATATGGCAGAAATTAACTGAAATAATTATGAATAGACTCATTTATTTGTATCTATATAAATACAAAGGCTAGAAAGCACTACCTGATCTCATTCAGAATGTCCATGCTCTTCTTTGGAAGTAATTCCATAGCTTGCAATTGGAGAAGGAAAGTTCAAATAAGAGCATGACGTTAAACTTAAAATTTTAGTTAAGGAATCAGATTTACTAATATGGTTAAAATATAGAGTAAAATATGTAAGCCAACTATCAACCACTGGGAAACAATGCATAAACAAAAAAAAATAGATACTTAGCACACAAGCCAAAAGTCTTGGTCATTCAGAACATATCGGCCAATAGTCATTAGGGAGCCCAGCACCTCAACAACCACAGCAGTACATATTCGAATTACAGGTACAGATGGTTGAACCTTCTTTGTCGGTGTGGCCTAATATAACCCAAATCTTTAGTCACGGGAAATGAAGAAAGTAAAAGATCAAAAGTGGGGAGTTCATGTGCAGCATCGGTACCTACAAAATTTTCAAAACCCCCATATCACGGAGACATCGTTGCACAATAATCTTCCTAGGTGGTGGTGCACAAGTATTCTTCACCCCATCAAGAAATTTTTTTAGTATTACTAACTAACAAAGAATTTTTTTTTAATTGGAGGAATCCAAAATTCCTTAGCACTCTCAAATTAATACCAGTCTTAAGCATTTTCTTCCAAAAACTAAACACAAGAAGCTGTGCATGGAAAAAGGGAAACATAATATAACAGAATTGCATCTGTAATGTCAATTGAGTAGTACTTCCTCCATCCAAAACATACTTCACACTCCTAATTTCAAGCTATAAAAAAGAAAACAGTAACACATGCATCAAACGAAATACCTCGACCGGACGTCCTCTCCGCCCTTGGAGAACAATTCACATACAACCATATATAGCGCAGATGGTCTAGAAAGAGATAAAATATTTTAGTTTCACCCCTTGGATTCACATAAACAGATTGAATATTCCCTTCTAGAAATAAAGCAAAAAAACAAAAACCTAACAAATAAATTCAAACATACTCGTATTAAATTTCAATCATGAAAACCAGTGATAATATTTTCTTTAAACACCCAAACATCAAATTACAGGAATAATTTAATATAAAATGCAAAATTCAAATCTTTAGATTGAACAAATCTAATCTAAACCAAGGATTCACAGTTAAGCCTCAATATTATTAATTAAATACTAAAATATCAAATTTTGCTTGATTGTAAAAAAACATATCACAGCCATAGAATGTATTAAATTCAAAATGGATATAAAATAAATGATTTAACAGGATTTAAAAAATTTAGATCTATTCAATCCCAATGAAGTTCACAATACTACTAAAATTGAACAATTAACACGAAATCAACACATAAACAAAGAAGATAGTGAAGAAAAACTTTGGATTTGAAGACTTTACCCTTGAAAAGGCCATTGGATGTCATTCGGCTTTGTTACTGTAGCTTTTCGACGGTGGTAGCTTCTCTAGAATATCGCCTTTCTCTAGAGCGCTTGGAGATCCATGGACGGGTGCTAGGGTTTCAAACTCTAGATCTGAAGTCGTCTTCTTCCCTTTGTTGTGTTCTCGCGTTTTCAGAAAGTCGTCTTCTTCCCTTTGTTGTGTTCTCGCGTCTCAGGAAATGAAGAAGAAGATCGAAAGAAGATGCAATTTTGTGGTCATCGCCTTTCTCAGGAAACGAAATGGATGTTGAATGTCGATTTTGAGTTTTCTCAATTTAGGTGGTAGGGATGAAAAAAAGAAGTGAATTAATCGGAATGGATGGAAAAGGTGGGTAAGAATTCAACTTTGAGGTGGGCTAATATGTGCTATATTTTTAAATATGAATTGGAGTGCAAATGTTTTTTAATTTAATTAAATTTAATTAACTCGGCACACTTAATTATGTGGGTACATGAATTAACTTATAACAACTCTTATAAATGTGGGGAATCTTAAAGTGTTAAATTTTGTTACCACACTTAGTCAAGTGTGGCAAATTAAATGCGGCTAAATCCCAATTTTCTTGTAGTGTATCCATGGCGAAATGCAGCTTGCAGAGGAGATTCGATCGGGAATCGCCATTATCGCCAGAGCAGATCTAGAGAGAAGGTCTCCATATATATATATATATATATATATATATATATATATATATATATATATATAATATATATATATATATATATATAATATATATATATATATAATATATATATATATATATTTTTTAGGGATCTCTTAGAAGCAGGGGGGCCGAGGCCCGTTAACCTCGTGTCCATCCCGGGGCCCGTTAACCGCCGAGGTAGGAAGCCCACTATAGAGCCACTCCTGGTAGCCTTCCCAAGGGGTCACCCATCCTCTCATTACTCCAGCAGCAGCACGCTTAACTTTTCTAAAATTCCCCCAAAGTCGCCCTCTCTGGGGATTGAACTCGGGTCGTAAGGATCCCCGTTTAAGGTTTAGACCATCTCACCAGGGGGGATCCTTTTATATATATATATATATATATATATATATATATATATATATATATATATATATATATATATATATATATATATATATATAGACACACATATATATACATACATACATATGTATGTATGTATATATATATATGTATGTATATATATGTGTGTCTATATATATATATATATATTTAAATGAAAGGAAATTTATTATTAATGGAGAAAAAGGAAAGAAAAGTACAAGTGGGGTGGCCATACACACACACACATAGATACACACACACACACACACAGATAGATTGTTTGTAACTCTTCCAGCTAACCGCTCCACCGTTTAGACAATAAACATAGCCTGCCTTGACTTAAAGTCATCCCTGTCCGTTTGGAAGCTTGCATCAGTGTAACCAATTACTCTGAGCTCTTCCTGTTCGCCAAAGACTAGAAAGGCATCCTTAGTTTTTCGTAAGTACTTAAGGATAGTCTTCACTGCCATCCAATGACTATCTCCAGGATTGGATTGGTATCTACTTGTGATACTCAGTGCATAGGCAACGTCAGGTCTTGTACATATCATGGCGTACATGATTGATCCAATGGCAGATGCGTATGAAACATTTTCCATGCGCTTCTTTTTTTCCTCTGTGGAAGGTCCTTGAGTCTTGGAAAGACTAACTCATTGGATCACTGGCAAGTTCCCTCTCTTAGATTCATTCATATTAAATCGTTTGAGAATCTTGTTAATGTATGTACTTTGACTTAAGCCAATCAGCTTTCTAAATCTATCTCTATAGATCCTAATTCCAAGAGCATAGCTTGCATCACCTAAGTCTTTCATGGAGAAGTTCTTACTCAACCAAGTCTTGACAAACGATAGAGTATGAACATCATTTCCCATCAACAATATGTCATCAACATATAGAACAAGAAAGACTATGGTGCTCCCACTAACCTTCTTGTATACACAAGATTCATCTTCATTTCTTTGAAAACCATAACTAGTTATGGTCTCATGGAAACGAATATTCCAACTCCGTGAGGCTTGCTCCAATCCATAGATTGATTGTTGTAGCTTAGATGTCTAAAGATGGCGACATTGGTGCTTTTAAGACGTATTCTTAATACTTAGGTTTTTATTGTAACAAGCTCATTCAATTTCTCTACGTCATGGCTCAAAACAAAATATGTTTTTCATGCATCAAATGAGTGTTTTCATAAATGGTTTTTAAGTTTCTAAAACCCATGGTTCTTGCTTAACCAAAACCATAACCATCGGTTATCGGCGTTTGGCTATGGCGTTCGTTTTCGGCATTGGTTATTGGCATTGATTTTAACCAAATGGTTTTTGGGTTTTTATCCTTGGTTTAAGCTTCTGGACACATTAAAAGGTTTTCAAAATCATTATTTTTCAAAAACCATAACCTTTGTTTTTTCGGCGTTGGTTATCGGCATTCGGCGCTGGTTATCGGCGTTGGTTTTTGGCGTCCAAATCAATCAAGTGGTTTTTAATATTTTATGATTGGTTTTTACTTCTGGACATATCAAAATGGTTCTCCAACAAAAACATGTTAAAAACCACCTTTCGTTTTTGGTCTTTTGCTGAAAACCATGTGAAACGGCATAAACTTGGCTAGCCGTGATTTTTACCTTAATGAAGTGGTTTTTAAGTTTTTATACTTCTTTTCTATATTAAATACATTATATAAGATTTTCCAACACTTGGTTTTCATTTTGGAGAACTTTGGTTTTTGACATCGGTTTTCGGCGTTGGCTGTCAAACCATGGTTCTGGCGACCAGACCCAACATAGATGTAGGATCTTGAACATAGATGTCTGGACAGCGATGTTGGGATTTGAACATCTATGTCTGAACAGCGATGTTGAGATTTGAACATCTATGTTTTGGCCAGATTGGCTCACGTCAGTCTTCCCGTCATCCAAAAACTTGTCGCTACAAGTAACAACTTGTCGCTACAAAAGTTTACTGGCAACCCGATAAATTCTGTTTTAGAAAGGTAAAAACTTTCAGTTTGTGGGGTTGTAGCTACATCTGAAGATCTGTAGCTACAAAACTACTGGCAATCGGTAAAAATTTCCTTTCAGTTTCGGTTTTGTCGCTACATCACTACATGAACAGCGCTATCGGACTAGATTTCAGTAGATCCACTTTTATTTGATTTCCACAAATCAAGCCAATCAACCCCAATCTTTTACCAACCGTTGCACCTTGTTTTTGGGTATAAAAAGGGGTCTCTTGGGTCTACTTTACACATCCATTCCTCACACATTTCATAGCTTTACATTGCATCATTCCATAAACTTTTTACATAGCTTTTTAGAGCCATTTCTTGAGGAATTGAGTGTGTTCTTGATCTAAATTAGTTTACTCATATTCTACTCTTTAAGAGAGTTGTTCTTGAGTGGTTAAGTGTTGTGAACACTTTAAGGGAGGTTTGTTCCCTTGGTTGTACGAAGGAAGGGCATATTCCTTCGGGTTGAAGTCTTTGAGTGCGGTATCTCCGAGCAAGTGTATTGAGGCTCGTGGGACTTGAGTTCTCAGGTTGTAACGGTTTGTTAAGCACCCGTAAGCTTAACGGAAGTAGTGTAGCTCGAGAGAGTCTCTCGGGAGACTAGACTAGCCACACGGGCTGGTGAACCAGTATAATCTTGGTGTGCTCCCTTTACTCCTTTTTATTCCGCTCTTTACTTTATCCCTGCAATTTTTATTCCGCGAAAATTTATAAACATTCTCGTGCCTCACTATTCACCCCCCCCCCCTCTAGTGAAGGGCACCTATTCTAACAATAGCAAGTAGTATCCTAATGGATTTTATCATCACGACTGGGGAAAAGGTTTCATCATAGTCAATACCATGTATTTGTTTATAACCTTTTGGCACTAATCGTGCTTTGAAGGTCTGTACCTTCCCATCCATGTCAGTCTTCTTTTTGAAGACCCACTTGCATCCAATGGGTTTCACTCCAGTGGGTGCATCTACCAAAGTCCATACTTGGTTTGTGTACATGGAATCCATTTCAGATTTCATGGCTTGATGCCATTCCTCAGCCTCTGGGCCACTTATGGCTTCAAGGTAGGTCTCAGGCTCATCATTCTTTATGAGCAACACGTCTCCTTTGCCAGTTAGGAGAAATCCATACCTTTCGGGTGGATTTCGTGTTCTCATTGACCTTTGAAGGGCTTGTGTTTCTTGGGTGGGTTGAGGAACAACAATTTGCTCCTCTTGCTGTCTCTCTTCGTCTAGTTGGTTATCCGCTTCGTTGTCTTGGATTTCTTCGAGATCTATCTTTCTTCCATCACCTGCTTTTGAAAGGAATTCCTTTTCTAGAAAGGGTCCTGTTCGAGCAACAAACACTTTGTTGTCAGTCGGGTGATAGAAGTAATATCCACGAGTTTCCTTTGGATATCCAACGAAGACACATTTGTCGGATTTGGCGTCAAGCTTGCCTGAAGTCAATAGACGTTTGACATATGCTTCACAGCCCCAAATCTTCATGTGTGATATTTTTGCGCTACGGCCAGTCCATATCTCGTATGGTGTTCCTGTTACTACCTTAGTTGGAACTCTATTTAGAGTGTACATCGCTGTGTTCAACGCATATCCCCAAAACGAGTTTGGGAGTGTCGCATGACTCATCATGGATCGAACCATGTCCAACAGTGTCCGATTTATCCTTTCAGACACACCATTCCACTGTGGCGTTCCAGGAGGGGTGAGTTGAGATAGAATCCCATGCTCTTTTAGATAGTCATCGAACTCATGGCTCAAGTACTCTCCTCCACGATCAGATCGCAAGGTCTTAATACTTTTCCCTAGTTGTTTCTCTACTTCATTTCGAAATTCTTTGAACATTTCAAACGATTCCGATTTGTGTTTCATCAAGAACACATAACCATATCGACTAAGATCGTCAGTGAAGGTAATGAAATATGAGAAACCTCCTCGGGCTGTAATGTTAAAAGGCCCACATACATCAGTATGTATGAGCGCAAGAAGATCACTAGCCCTCTCACCTTGATGGGTGAATGGTGTCTTGGTCATCTTGCCCAATAAACAAGACTCGCATGTATCATATGATTCAAAATCAATTGTTTCCAATACACCAGTTTTGTGTAATTTGGATATGCATTTCTCATTTGTTTTGGATCTCTCAGTTGAAATGTTATAAATTGATTTGTCTAAGTCTAGAATATATAATCCACTCATCATAACAGCTTTAGCATAAAGCGAATTGTCTTTTTATATAAGACAACAGTTGTCCTTTATTGAAACAATAAAACCAGTTTTATCAAGACATGATATGGAAATTATGTTTCTACTAATTGAAGGAATGAATAAACAATTCTCCAATTCTAAGACAAAACCAGATGGTAAAGTTAAGCTATATGTGCCGACTGCTTGTGCCACAACCTTTGCGCCATTGCCAACACGAAGTTCAACTTCACCAGGAGCCAACTTTCTACTCTTATTTAGTCCCTGCATGGAAGTACAAATATGAGATCCGCATCCCGTATCAAGTACCCATGCTGAAGAGGTAGAAATGTTAACTTCTATAACATACATACCAGAAGCAGAGGAATCATCCCTTTTTCGCTTCAAGTTGTCACAGTGGTTCTTTGCAGCCAAGTATCTCTCATGCTCGTCATCATTTATGAAGACATCTCCTAATCGCACGATCATATCGTATGAATTGACCCCATCAAGTTGCTGCGAGAGCTTCTTTGACATTGAGGCTAGCATGATTTCAAAAGCAATCCCATCATCGCGTACGTGCTCATGATAGATTTTTATGTCTCTCATGATTGTAACGGGTGTCTTTGGACGTTCTGGTATTGGCCTATAAAGAACATACTCTATTCCAATCGCACGAAGTGCTTCGATCAAATCAGCACGCCAGACGAGGAAATTTTTGCCATGTAGTTTTTCCTTCTTAAGGAACTTGCGAGCGACTTTTGTCCTTAGGTGGTTACTAGTCATCTACAGATAATTTGCAAGATAATTATAATCAAGAATCTAAGTAATTAGATAGGTCTTTAACTAAATACTCTCCCACTATTTTAACAAATCAACTACCCTCAAGTACGTAACCAGTTGATTCAAGATTAGGTATCTTAGTGGGCCAAGGTCCATATTACATTTAATTATAGTTGTGCTTTGCATATTGCCCTATAGTTAAACTAATTATGTAGGAACTAATTTCCAATTGTGATCCAATTACAATCCTTGGTTTGTTAGGTTGTTCTAAATAAAATCCTATATTGGGCCTAGATCCTTATTTCATCTAACTATAGTTGTGCTTTGCATCTTGCCCTATAGTTAAACTATTTCAGGTAGGAACTATTTCCAATTGTAACATTTTACAACTCTAGGCTAGATGAATTTTATTTTATTTATTTACCTAACCAAGTTCCTCTAAGTTATTCATCTTTTAACATTAACTTAGTTAAGTCCTGCCCGAGGCGTACTCAGTATCCATTGTTACGGATTTCGCGTCATACCAATGTAAACCAGGCGTCCCGCTTTGGCGTGTCCGTTGACAGGTCGAAACTGGTATCAACGAGTGAGTCGGCGTCGGAAGGCACAAACTTAATATTATGAGGGATTTTGACGTGGTCTCACCTACTGTATGTGCCACGCACATACTCTAGCGATCAACATACATACATGCATTCAATCATACAAACAAGTATAATAAAACGTGTCATGATTGTGGCTTCCTAAAAGAACTAACGATAAAGCTCTTTCTTGAGATCTCAATCTCCAGCTCCATCTTACTTCTTTTGGAATGCTTTGGCCTTTGAGTTTAGCTCTCCATTGTGTTCTTATATATATATATATATATATATATATATATATATATATATATATATATATATATATATATATATATATATATATATATATATATATATATATATATATATATATATATATATATAATAAAAGGGGGTTTTTATTGATTGATTATCGCAAAAAAGGTAAAGATACATCTGCCTTGATGGCTCCCTAAACGTGTTGTGGAATAGTGTTAAGGGAAATACAAGGACTAAAAAAATTGTGTCTGCCGGCCCATTTAGCCAGGCAGTGGGCTCCCATGTTTCCCTCGCGGTAAACGTGATGTAGTTTGTGTCCCTCTTGCGTAAAGGCTCGATGGATGATAAGCCATAAGTCATCTTTGATTCCCGAGTTTGTGCTCCTAGAGATTGATTTTGATAGAGTTTCAGAGTTCGTGTTGGCCCAAATGTGATTACCAAAATGCCCCGCCCACTTAAGCCCAAATGCCAACGCCTTTGCTTCTCCTTGTAAAACGTTGGTATCAAAGTTCCTGCTGCGATGAATTTCCCATTCCAAGCGCGAAGAATTGCGCTCCCAACCGCGTAAGAGGTATTGATTGCTACGTCTGTAGAAAGGTTTAGCGCATTGTCTTCAGTGCTCCTCCAACGGTGAATTTTGGGCCTGGGGTACCATTGATTCAGAGAGAGCAGTTCTGTTGGTAGGCGCCAAGCTCCAAAGGTTTTAATTTTGGAGGGAGCCCTACCTAGGTTCCAGTCTTGAAGTTGCCCGATGCACTATTGAAGTAGTCTCCCCGGCTCTGTGCTGCTGCCATCCTGTATTCGTTGGTTCCTTTCCTTCCACATTTGGTGTACTATGATGCCATGTATAATTCCTTTTATCCATCCTTCAAGTGTTTTGGTATGGCACTCTTGCCACCATTTGTGTAGGTAGGATCTTACCCCATGTGTTGCCTGCCATGGAATTTTGAAAATCCATTCGAAGTAGGACCAGATAAACATAGCGTAGGAACACTAGAATAGTGTGTGAAAGGCTGAGTCATTGTCCTTTCTGCATAGAGGGCACTGGGATGGCATTTTGATCCCAAATTTCCTCAGTTGTATTGGAAAAGGTAGCAGATTGAAGTATAGCCACCACTGGAAGAAGGAAATTTTGGTAATTTGCTTCATTTCCCAGATGATGTCCATGTGTTGAACTGTCTCTACTTCTACTTGCGCTTGGATAGTCTGGTAGGCTTCCTTTAGAGATAGTTGTTGATTCCTGAAAAAATCTTCTACATAGTTTCCTTCCTCTCCTGCAGAATAAATTTTAGTAGCTGTTTCATGTATAGCACAAATTCTTTTCTATATAGTGGAATCTGTGATTTTGGGAGTGAAGTTATTGTTTCTAGGATATCTCTCTCTCTCATAAACTGGCTCCAAATAGAACCATTGGCATGATAATTCCACAAAAGTTTGAGGCTGAAAGCCTCCTGGAGTGTGTCCAAAGATCTGACTCCAAGACCTCCTTTGTCTTCATCCAAGCAAATCCTATCCCAAAAAGCCCAGTGATAGCTCTCCTTTCCTTCTTTGCTACCCCATAGGAAAGAGCACATCTTGTTGTGAAGGAGATTAAGAATAGACTTGGGAAGTTTGTTGACTGCCAGGGAGTGGAGGGGGATAGAGTTAAGTGTGTGTTTGATGAGGATAAGTCTCCCACTGTGGCTGAGAAGCTTTGCCTGCCAACCCTTCAGCTTGTTGTTAAATTGCTCAATGATGTCATGGAAGTATGGGGCTCTGTTTATTCCTCTAAAAATCTGAACACCTAAGTATTTAAAAGGCATAGAGCCATGTTTCATACCTAGGGCTTTGCTCATGTAATGGATTTTGTGAGGAGGAGTTTTAGGGGGTGGGAAAAAAATTGCATTTTTCCAGATTCACCTTCTGTCCTGAGCAGCTTTCATACCTTCCCAAAAACCTATAAAAAATTTTTAGATTAGATCCTGAGTCATTTGTGAAAAGGATTAGGTCATCAGCATATGCCAAGTGAGAAATAGGATGATAATGCCTTCCCATGTTGTAACCTTCAAGCTGTTTATTGGCGATGAGCTTGTTGATAGATCTGCTAAATCCTTCTGAAGCAATGATAAAAAGGAGGGGGATAGAGGATCCCCTTGTTTCAAGCCTCTAGAGGTCTTGAAGGGTTTGGTATTTTTCCCATTAATGTTAACAGTGAGGGTGGTAGAGGAGAGAATGTTATGTATTAGGTGGATGATCTGATTACCAAAACCAAATCTTCTCAGAACTTCCAACAGGTATTCTCAAGAGACTCTGTCAAATGCTTTGGACATGTCCAATTTGATAACCAGATTTCCCCCTCTGCACTTATTAGAAAGACCATGAAACATTTCTTGGGTAATTAGGATTTGGTCCTGAATGAGTCTGTCCTTCAAGAAGCCACCTTGTTCAGGACTGATGATTTTAGGAAGAAAGGATGACAATCTGGTAGCCATGATCCTGGAAAAGATTTTGGCAATGAAGTTTGAAAGACAGATGGGTCTAAATTCAGAGAATTTGGTAGGGTTATCAACTTTAGATATTAGAATGATGGTGGAGGTGGATAGGTTTTTAGGAGGGGGAATTCCCAAGAAGAATTCTTGGCATGCTTTCCAAATGTCTTCTTTGATGATATCCTAACAGACCTTGAAAAAGTGACCAGTGTATCCATCAGGCCCTGGAGAAATGTCTGGGCTGAGATCCTAGACTGCTGCTTTGACCTCTGCCATGGTGGGTAGGGCAGTAAGGAGAAGGTTGTCATTTGGATTGAGGGTTTGGGGGATGTTGTCAAGGATGTCAGGTCAGAGTGTAGTGTCTTCTTGGGTGAATAGGTTGCTAAAAAATGATATGGCTTTAGTAGCAATTTCCTCCCACTCATGGAGCCATCTGTTCTCATTGTTTTTTATTTTTTCAATTCTTTGGAAGTTCCTTTTGTTTTTAACAAAAGCTTAAAAGAACTTATTGTTAAGATCCCCCTCCTTGATCCACTTCAAATTTGATTTTTTCTTCCAATAGGAGTATTCAGTGGCCAAGCATTTGTTTAGAGTTGTTCTGGCTTGTTGCATCCTTATGTTGTTGTCTTCTGAGGGATTATCATTGAACTTGTTTTCAGCTTCCTTTAGAGCTTCTTCTTGTTTGGCTCTAGATTGGAAAATGTTCCCAAAGGTATTAATACTCCATGATTGGATAAGCTTCCTCAACTTTCCCAGCTTCTCCATAAGACCCCTCATCCCTCCTCCTCTATAGGGTTCCCAGTTGTTTCTGACGAGGGGGAGAGAAGTGTCATTATTTGTCCAGCAATTGAGAAATTTGAAAGGGATTGGCCCTTGAAAAACCATTTGTTTTTTGATCTTTAAAAGGATGGGGTAGTGATCAGAGCCTCCTTTGGCCAAGTGGTCAGAGGTTATTGACCAACTAAGATTTTCCAAGTGGGTATTGTAGAAAATTCTGTCTAGTCTCCTTCAAATTTTCCCTAGGCTTCTAACCCCTTGCCAAGTGAAGGAAGACCCAGTAAAAGGTGGTTCAATAAGACCCGTTTGGGTTATGCAAGTGTCAAACTCCATAATACTAACCATACATGGTGAACTCTTGCCCTCGTGTTGGTTTACAGAGCTGATAGCATTAAAGTCACCTCCTAGGATCCAGGGGTCTGTGGTACTGTTTGAGAGGTTAGAGATGATGTGCCAAAGATCCCTTCTTTCTTCCTTAGTGTGCCTTCCATATATAGCTGAGATATGCAGTCTTGTTCCTAGGTGAGTGTTACTGAAGACAAGATGCCCCAATTGAGAGTGGTTGGTAAAGTTATCCAAGCATAGAAAATCAGATTTCCAGAAAGCCCAGATTTGATTATTACAGAGATGGACAGAGGAGTCAAAACCCAGGCTAAGTTGGAATTTATCGAGTTTGGTACTAGGACTTTTAGGTTCCATAACAACAAGAAAGTGTATGTTCAAGTCTTTGATAATAAAACTGAGTCTAGGAAGGTTTGAGGCAATGCCTCTGATGTTCCAGAAAAGTGCATTCATTGTTGAAGGATATAGAAAGAATTGTGAGATGAAACCTTTTCTTGGAGCCTTGCAGATCTCCTTTTGATTTCTGAATCCATGGGTTTGTTGGTTGATTTAAGTGATTTCCTGTTTGCAGGTTTAAAACCATTCTTGGAAATGGTTCCTCCATCTGAGTGGTAACCTCTGTCCTCAGGTTGGGGGTTAGTCTGTTCAGCCTCAAGAAGCTTTCCTTCAATGTTTTCATCTCTCCCTTGAGCAAAGATTTGAAAAAGGGATGAAAACATATCCTGTTGGAAGTTGATTTCAAAGGAATCCTGATCATCAGAGGGGGCCAGGGTGCTGATGGGGGTTTGTGAACTGGGGGATGGCATGTGGGTCAGGGGGTTTGAGGAAGATGGGTCATCCGGAATAATTATGGTTTGAGGTTGGTCCAAAGTTGGTTTTGGTTTGAGTGGTTGGTTTGGGGCTGAATTTTCTTTTGGTGGTGGATTTTTGAGGTTTGGCTGTTTGTTGTTGTTTTGGTTGTGTGAAGGAGCCTGGCATGTGGGTGTGGGGATGTGGGTGTTGTTGCTGGGCGTAGGGTCATTGGATGCAGGTTTTTTGTTGTGGAGTTGTTTGGTTGAAGTGGGCAGTGGGCCCACATTACCCAAGTCAGTTTGAGAAGGGTTGGTTATTTGATAGCTGTTTGGGGATGGAATCTTAGCCATTGGAGAAGGGGAGAGCTTGCAGGCAGGTGAGTGCCTATTGATGCCTCTACAAACTTTGCAGAATTCAGGGAGATTTTCAAATTCAGCTTGTAACAACAGAGGGGTATCCCCATTCTTGACATAGAAAGAATTCTGTGGAGGCTTTGATAGGTCCATTTCCACATAGAACCTAGCCACAGAAGGTCTGGAGAAGCTTTCAGTAGTAGAGTCCATTTTTAGAGGTTTACCAAATATGTTGGCAATGGACATCAGGGCTTGTTTGGCATGCAGGTGGATTGGCAAATTATTAATGGAAATCCAAACAGGGATGATTGGTGTTACCTTGGAGGGATCAAAATCTGTAGTCCACTTAGTGATACTCGTTGTAGCACCTTGGACATTCGAATCCTTGCGAAGAAAGAGCCTTTGATAATCTTTTTCTGAAGAGAAGTTGAGCAAAACATGGGTAGGATGAAGGAGGCCAACAGAGAACCCAACGAAACCAATTTTTTCAAGCCAGCTTCGTAGAGTTTGCATTGGTGGCCTTTTCCCAAAGAAACTCCCCACCAGCGCAAATTCAAACCGAGCAACCAGGGAATGCACTTCCTCATTAGAGAAGAGTATGCAAGGGAGACCTCTGAACTTTTCAATTTGTTTGGTGTAAAGGACATGTGAAGAGGGGGAGACAGCCTCTTTGAAGCTCTTCGTGACAGGAGGGGCTGCCTAAGGAGTTCCCGGAGCTTTGGACGACGACCTAGAGGCCGCCGGCCTGAAACTGGTGGACATGCACGGTGGTGCTAGAGAGAGAGAGAGAGAGAGAGAGAGATATATATATATATATATATATATATATATATATATATATATATATATATATATATATATATGTATGTATGTATGTATATATATATATATATATATATATATATATATATATATATAGCTCAACAAAGAGGAATCAAAACACAGACTTTGAACCTTGGCACAAACACAGACTTTGAACCTAGCCTTCATAAAGTAAAGTGAGCAATCAAAATAGAATTAGGGACTTTAAAGCAAACCTTTCTCCTGAATTAATCTAGTTTTCAGGTCCGTTAATCTCTTGCTCCTCCTTGGCGCTGGGGAGTCTTTAAACTGAAGACAGAGTTGCTCAAACTTCCTCTGATTTTTCTTTTTACTTGCTTCTTTCCTAGTATGCCAGTCTGGTTCATCTTCTAACCCTCTATCTGTGACCCATTTTTCTTCTGAATCAAAAAGAGGCTTAAAATAAGGCTTTGTCTGCTTCTCTAAGCCTGAGTTATAGCTCACGTTCCACTGTGATCTTTCCAAATCATTATCATTATCAGAATTTGAACACCCCAAGAAGTGAGGTTGGTCCCTCGGATGTGAGTAGACCTTTGCACCTGGAATGAAAGGTGGAGCTACTGGAGAGAGAGGGCTATGAAGGATATGAAAAGGTGGAAATGGGGTTGCAGAAACTGGCTGTTGTGGTTCCTTGAGGGGGGGAAAAGGAATATTAGGAGAAATGTTTATAAGTGTGTGACTATAATCACCTGGGATATCTAAGGTGAACAACAAAGAAGAGATGGAGGGCTCAAAAGGTAATGGCGTGGAGGGGAAGGGGTTAAAACATACCACTGCCTTGTCCAAAAAAGGAGGAGGTGGGGGAAGAGAGACTCTAAAAGATTCAAAAGCTGCCTTAAAGTATGATGTAAAGGAGGTTTAACCCAAACTTTGGTTTCCTTCTGGAATGTTGATCCAAACCTTTCCATCCTTGTGGAATTCACTAAGTTTAAAGTGATTACCAGTTCTAGAGGATTGGAATGAGACTGAAAGCAGTCTATTGTTCTCCCTAAGGTGAGTGGATCGAAGGTGTACGTATCCCACTTGAGTGACAGATTGGAGATTATCCAGGAGCCAAGTACTAAGGTCTAACCCTAGCCAAATATTTAGCTTCCTATTCTTCTGAACTTCTGTAATACATATCTTCTTGTTGAATCTTGAAGGGGTAAAGAGGAAAGTCTTACCTTTAATTCGAAATTTTTGAGATGTAGAGATTGCTATTTATTGATTGGGATTTTTGATTCCATCCCTGGAAATTAGCGGAGCCCCCCTTAAGATATCAGCGTAGCTTTCTCCGATGGAAAGCGTCGTCGCTTGGGCAATTGAAGGATTTCGATTGAAGACTTAGTCGGGGCTGGACGATCCTTGGAAGAGGAAGGGATATGGCCATTCACCGGTTTTGTATAAAATGAGTGTGTAGGTTTGATGATTGGTGGAGTTGATGAAGGTTGGCGGTGGGTTTGTAAAGAAAATTGGCCTGAACAGTTGGCCGGTCCGATGAGTAAATCAGAGCGTAGAAAGCTCTCGCCTCTCTCTACAGATCTCGCCATTATATATATATATATATATATATATATATATATATATATATATATACATATATATATATATATATTGGTTCAAGTGATAATGCGATCTTATGAATGAAATAAGAATGAATCTGGTACTTTAGATTGTGAGATCTAAGGGTCAAGATTGCATCAAAATTAGGTGCACCAAAATGGGTTAAAAATGCATCATGTCGAAATGCATCAAAATCCTTTGAAAATGCATTATCTCAAAATCTGAGTGCAGGATGCAATCTGAGTCGCACGATGCATCCGATCCAAAGACTAGATTTTATTCTTATTTCTTTCACCAAGGTGCATTCTCACCTGAACCAGCCCCTATATATATATATATATATATATATATATATATATATATATATATATATATATATATATATATATATATATATATATATATATATATATATATATATATATATATATATATATATATATATGTGTGTGTGTGTGTGTGTGTGTGTGTGTGTGTGTGTGTGTGTGTGTGTCTATATATATATATATATAAATTATATATATAAATATATATATATAGTGGTGGGTTCTAATAAGAATATATCTCAATGAAAGAACTAAGAATGAATTAGGAGCCTAGGATTAGTTCAATCGTGTGGCTGAGATCTAATCTTTAAAATAGGAAGTGTAATTATTATTTTGCACTCCTTTTGACAGTAGAATCGTGGAGGGGCATATTTGGGAGATTTGATTTTATTGAAATGCGTAAATGTTGGAGAATCTCGCCTAATAAGCCGCAGGCTCAGAATAGAACTCTTCACTTCTCAATAAACCTCGCTAGGTGCGCTGCTGTTCTTGCGCTAGTGGTGCAGGGATTTCTCATTCTCAAGGTTTTATTGCAGCATTTGGGTCGGACTTGTGCGCTTTTCGTACCGCTGAAAGTATATTGCATAGATGGAGGGTGAAGGAGTACCTGGTAAGTGCGACTTTTTTGGTGTTTTTTTGGGCGACTCGGGTTTTGGGAATTTTCTTTTTTTGCATGTGTTCGATGATGCATTTTGTACTCATGATACTGATTGATTGTTGAAAAATGGTGTCTTACTGTAGAATTTTGCAACCGGTGAGGGTTTTGGGTTTTGGAATTAAAAGTTTTTTCAAAACTGATTGTGTTTTGTTAGTCTAGTTTTTTCATTGAAATGTTTTTTCTGGAGAGCACATTAATGTTTTTTTATTGTTTGGGTTGAATTTCGTGGGTTTGATTGAGGAAGGAGACTGTGGTGCGTGCTGGTTTAAAAGCGGTCATTTAATTTCGAGGATTTGTGTTTATTTTTTATTCACTGAATCTGGGACAAAATGGGGGATTTATTATTATTTTTTAAGTTGTGAGTGGGTTTTTTGTGCATTATAACTATAGAGAGGATGGAGGTTTATTTATGTTCTCATGATTTTGAGTGGTGCATTGTCATGTATTCGCATCATCTTGAGGTTGATGTGCACTTTGGGTTGGTTTCAGTAAATAGGGTGTGCTGAATTTGTTAAATGTGAATTTTTATTTTGAATTTAGAGTTTATTGCGTTTTGTGAAATAATTCTTTCATCAGTTGCGAACATTGATAAGGCTTTGTTATGCTTTTGGGTGGCCTTATAGTGTACTTAATAGATAGTGTGGTTTTTTGTTTAACAAAATCACTAGCGTAGGGTGATTGCGTTTCGTGTATTTGATGTGGATATCTGGTTTTTTATGTTGTTATGCTGTTTCGGTGAATGAAGCATGTGTCTTGTGATGTTATACTTTACAGTTTTAAGTTATGTACACAATGTTCCTCAGTTGTTTCTTGTGAATAGGCTATAGTGCATTTTTTTGTTCTGATTGAGTGTTTGTGTCTGACTAAGGTGTCCTTTACATATTTGCACTAAATTATTGTAATTGTGCAACATGTTTGGGCTTTTTTAAGTGGATTATATTGTTGTGGTGCAATAGACATTCTTCTGAGTTTTTTATATGAGCATTGTAGTGTTGAATTAATGTGTTACTACTATATAAAGAATATAGGTTTTCGTAAAGTATTCTGCGTTTGAAATATGCATTCGTTGCCTATGGTGCTTGTGTATAAATTACTGTGTTTCTTACATTTTGGTATGTGTGTATTGGTAAAGTTGTATTGCATTGAATGGTAAAAGCAGTGTGATATGGCCAATGTATGCCATGGTTTGGCTTATTTTGTAGTGTTCGTTCTGCTATTTCATGGGGTTTCCCCTGATGAACAACTGTTGTTTAGTGTTCCTTTTGTTACTAATACTGTGCATTGTATTCATAATACTTATATACTTAGTTTGCATTTTATAGATTTATGTGATTGAATTGGGATGAATATGAAGCATGTTTCGGTCTGGGCAATGTGATAGTGTGAGTGTGGAAAATGTTATAACGTGGATTCATATTAACGTATTATTGGTGTGTGGTAAACAGTAATGATAGTTGTAGGATATGGTATTGTAGTAATTTATGATTTCCACAATGGTGCGGTGGAGTTTGATACTGTTCAGCTGGAATAAAAAATTGTGTTTGTGGTCTGATGCATATACTGTAGTAGTTTGTGTGTGCTTAGCATTGTACAATGCATGGTTTTAATATTAGCACTTAGGGGGGCTTACTGTGCATCAAGCTTTGTTAATAATATGGTAGTGTATCATTCTGTAAGTTATTAATCTGCTTTGTGCTGGGTAATATGTTTTGCTTTATAGAAATGTTGTGTATAGAAATTTTGTGCATTTTATACTAATAAAGAAGGGTTTCTTTCTTTAAAGTGTAAAAGGGTTTGGATATTCTAGTATTGTGTTGTTTGATGTGGTTTGGTAGTTTGGGTGGCCACACAAACACTACGTTGGCGTTGTTATGTTTTGTGTTGTGATTTGGCATTGTTTTCATTGTTGACGATTATTTGTTCTTGGATTTTTTTGTGGGGTCTGCAGATATTGCCTTGAAAAAATGTTCCAAGCGTAGCAAGCAAACTGTTCTAATGGCTTCACCGATTCGAAGAAGCGGTAGATTGCAGCTTGCAGAGATTAAGAAAAGGCCAAAAGTACACGCAGCGCATGTCGACTTGGGCGAGGATGACAAAGATTGTGTGGATGATGGTGGTGCAAATGGGAATGATAATGCTGGTTCAGATGTGTCTGGTGATGATGCAGTGAGTGGGGGAGATGACGGTGGGAGTGCAGAAGAGGAGGCTGACAGTGATGATGCATTTGATGACCCACCTCGAAAGACATCAACTGACCCTTCACCGAGTGCTTCGAGGAAGAATGGTGCATCAGTAAAGAAACGAAAGAGACAGGGGATAACCAAAATGAAGGAGAAGTACTTGCGAATCCAGTTGAGAGCTTCTCCAAACGTTTTGCAGAAAGTGGTTGAAGCTCTGAACGAAGTTCAGAGGCAGGAAGTTGTGAGGATTGGGTTCGGGTCTATGTTACGGATGAAGTTAACTGAGCTTCCGGCGAAACTAGGATTTTGGGTGGTAGAGAAATTCAATCCTAGGAGCAGCAGTATTGAACTTTCAGATAGAACAAAGGTGCGTGTGACGGTGGATGATATTAGACATGTTTTGGGTTTACCGTGTGGGCGTGTGAAGGTAGTGAACAAAAAAAGGTGAGAAGTGTGATCTAGTGGAGCAGTTGAGGGTAGAGATCGGAAGGAGGGACAACAAGATCACCCCTTTATAGATGAGTGAAAAGGTACTGCAATATACTGATGGTGGTATATGGTTTGTTCATCTTTTCGTGTTGTTAGTCGTGTCAGTTTTGGTTGATAGCCCAAGCCATGGGTATGTAAACAATTGGGTTTTGAAAAGCTTAGAGGATGTGGATGGGATTGTACAGTTAAACTGGTGTGAATATGTGCCCCGAGCATTGATTGATAGTAGGGTGAAGTGGGAGAAGGGGAACAGAAAATACTATACTGGACCTTTGTTGTGCTTGATGGTAAGAGTTTTGTTTTCTGTCTACTCTAATTTACTTCATTATAATGTTGTTGTTTTTTTAATGTAGTCTTTGTTATCTATTTTTTAAGGTGTTCTATAGTAGAGACGTGGAGAGAATGTCGCCTGCATTTCTGGGATGGACATCTAAGATCCTAAGGGATAGGGAAAACAAGGAGGGCAAAGCAGGTGGATTCGGGTTGGGGTATGACGATGGTAGATTTGTTGGTGAGGTGATGGATGTGAGCACTGGTGACGCAGAAGTTAGGGCAGGTTTTGAGGAGGTGAATGTGGAAACTAGTAATGATGATGCGCCAGAACCGAGGGGAGAGCCGAGGGATGATCCGGTCAAGGTAAGTGCGGGGGGGATTAGTTTGCAAACCCTGAACTGATTTTGTTTTTTTGGGTTGTTGAAATTTAATACTTTTTATTTTATGACACCCTTATGCATCAGGTTTTTGTTCAAAAGTTTGCAGAAAAGGGGAAAGTACTGGCTACCACAATCATCGAACTAGTGTCGTTGATAGAGAGTGCACCACCTGGTACCATGGAGAATGATGTTTTCAAGCAGCTACAGGTTGCAGCAGGTAGATTATTGGGTCTGGCACAACGTAGAGGGGGTGGAAGCTTAGAAACACCTGATGGAGCTTTTTCTGAGGTGACTTATGATGAAGGTTTCTGGAGCGACCCTGCAAACATAAATCAGTTAGTGGCGAATGAACATGCAGTGCTGCCACGTTCAAAATACAAGAAGATCATGGAGGATATGTCATCGTTCAGTCTGGGGTTCTCACAATTGGATGGAGAGAATGAGAATGTGAATATTGATGATGGTGATGTCGGTGCTTGCAGAAATACTCCTAGTACTCCTGGAGTTCGGGTTGTGAATGAGCCGGAGAGTAACACTGTGGTTGAAAATGTGTTCATAACACCTGGACAAGTGCAGTATCATGTGGGAGATGTAATTTTTATTATTGTCGTAGAGTGATCCTTGGTGTTGTGTTGCATGGTGTTTTTGTATACCATAACAATTCATAGTGGTTATGTTTTGTTTTTTGTTTGTTGATGCAGGGAGTTGATAGGGATTTGGCTGGTGGAAGCAGGATTCAGCCGGACCAGATTGGAATGACAGAGGTAAGACCATTATTCTTAGTGGTGTTGGTGATTTGTGTGTTACGTCATGTTTCATGGTGATAACACCAATGGTTGTTGTATGCGTAGGTTGCTGGTGTGAGTGCAGTGGGTGATGGAAATATGCCAGGAACTGTTCCAGTATCTTCAAAAGCAGCGGTAGGAATGCTTTTTTGGGAGATCTCATAAATTAATTCGTGCATGGTAATGGGTGGTGTGGTTGGATTTTTTCGTGACTTAATTAGAACTATTATTGTTATGTAGGAGGTGAAGCCATACAAGGTAGCAAGGAAGTTGGCTAGGAGCATAAAACCTGTCGGGCCTTTGAGATCACCCTACCTTACGCGACCGATTGGTCCTTCCGATGGGTTGTCTGTCCTGGAGAGGAGAGTTACGAATTGGGTGTTGCAAAATCTGAATGCTCCAAAGTAAGTTGTTGTTTTGAAATCTGCAAATTTGATAGAGCATTATTGAATATGGATGGTTTAAAATTTGATTTTTAGCTCTTTAATAATCGCATATTACGATGTTTAGGGATGAAGCTGTGTTCATGAAGGATGGATTTGAGTTGACAAGAGGTGAAATTGCGTCATTGGATATAGGGAAGCATATTTCCAAGAGGGTGATAGATGTTTGGTCAATAATACTCAACCACAATGAGAAATTCAGAAGTGACGATTCCCCGTTGCGTGTGTTTGCTAGGAGCATGGATTGTGTAAGCTGTTATTTTTTCTGTGTGCGTACTTAAGTTTGAAAGTGGATTCTCATGATGCTTAATCTGACGTGTTGTAAAAACAAAAGGTTGCAAACGGGGATATAGGGGATGTGTCTGAGGCAAACGTGAAGAACATTTTTGCAAATGCGCTGCTTCCTGCGTGGGATGACATGGCAGATGATTTCAACTAGGGGAAAGCTGAAGTGGTAACAATCTTTATAGTAGATGCAATGTAAACGATTGGAATTAGTTGTATCGTTCTACGTGGTTTATCAGTAGTTCATTGTGTTTGAGAGAATTTGTTAATGTGTGATGTTTGTGATCATGTGCAGTTTTTCTTTCCTATAATGCAACACAACTGGGCATATGTGTTGTGTGTTGACCTAAAAAGCAGACGATGTGACATCCTGGATAGCTCTTCGGCGAAAGCAAAAAACGAAGACAAATATTGTGACATGCCAAAGCGAGTTGTAAGAGCATTGGGTGTATGGGTTTTCGATAAGGTATATCAATCTGGATGATTTATTAACATGATATGTTTCAACCAGATGAGGTTGTTGGCTGATTTTCTTGAGCAGCAGAGGTTTGTTTTCAAAGGTAAATGTGTTAGAGAAATGGTTGCTAAGAGAATTACGTTCCCGTGGAGAGATCCGAAGGCTACGTTTGGCTATGGTGTGGCAACCATGCGCCATATGGAGACGTATATGGGGGATGGTGGCAAAGGATGGAACAGTGGCTTGTCAAGGTTAAATCTGAAGCCTATGCTATTGCTGCGATGTAAGTACTGTGCAGGTATACTTCTAAGCCCAGTGAATGCACTGTTGGACAAGGTTTACGAAGAGTCGGAGAAACTCGAAAGGGAGAGGAAGGAAAAGGATCCTAAGTGAACCCACCCCTGGAATGGCTGCATCTTATTTTTGTGTGTTTGTTGAATTATTTTAATTTGTTGTTGGTGAAAGTTGGTGACACCATTCATTGATGGAAGTGTTGTTTTGGGATTGAGTTATCAGCCCATAGTTGGGTGTTTTTTTTGTGTGGATTTGAGACCGTGGTTTTTTTTGTAGATGGTGTGAATGGTTATGGTTTTTTGAATGAAGTTGTGGTGTTGCAAGATTTGGTGCGTTTGTGACATGATTTATGTGGTGTGTAGAGTGATGAAGACTTGTCTCTTTTTTTAATGTGTTTGTCATTACGGGTATTTGGAGTGTTGTAAGGGGTTGGATTGATTGATTATTAAACAAGTTTTCTGTTTCGAGATTTGTGAACATTACGATTAATGAAGTGATTGAAAATTGTAGTTGTTCGAAACAAAGGTTTCCGCATTGTGTTATGAAAGTAGAGAACATCAGTACCAATGTATGCATCACTAAATGACTCTAATAGTGTTATAATAAATCATTTGAATAGTGAAGGACACTAGTTATGGTTTATTAACACAATTTTTGGTTCATGGAATTTGATAGGAAAAGGAAAAGAAACCAAGAGGAAAAGAAAATGACAAGGCAAAATATATTTAGGGAAAGGAATTCAAAATCATCATTTTCTTTTCTTTTCCTTGAAAAATCCTTGAACCAAACCTATGTTTGAAATGATGCATTCGAGGGATTTGCTTGTGCATTTCTGAGTTTGTGAGCCGCATATATTGTCGAAGACATACCAGGGTGTACATTATATGTGTTACCATTTATATACATTCTGCGAACGTGGTGAACACTTTTCACTAAGCACAACCCCACTGTATATGGTTTTAAAACCTCAATCAATCCCAAATCCATACATGGTGCTCATATTAAAAACATGCTTCATATTGACTTCAATATATCCATATATTGGTATGAAATCTATTTTAAAGATGAAATGCACAACTCCTATATGAAAATTCAGTAAAAAAGTAAACTATTTTGACTCAAATGATTTATGCAGTATAAAAAAAGTTGAAATGCTACAGGAGTAGAAGTATGTGATACATTCAGTCAATGAGCATGTTATAATGGGAGGTGAGTAGTTCTGTCTGTGACGGTGGGGGGGGAATTGGTGTTGAAAATGAGTCATTCAACCATTGGAATTGATTTTTTTTATTTAGCAATACAAGAGATGGGAAAAAACCAGAGATATATAAATAGAATAAAAATAACTGAAACATTAATAAACAATAAAAGTCGAACAGGAAAAAAGACTTATCACTTCTCATGGTTCATAGGACAGTTCCTGCTGTCGTGGAAGCCATATTCTTTGCATGTCCGACACAAGCGTTTGGTTTTCTTTGATTCTTCAATGCTAACTTCCTTTCCTGCTTTGATACGCTTACCGGTGCCCTTCATACAAACTTGTGCCGGGGGTAATACATGAACTTCTGAAGGTGCAGAAGTGCCACAAAAGTTTTCAAACATCGAGGATGTGTCAGATGATAGTTTGCCATCTTGAAGTTTGTCAATGAGCGCCTCCTTGTGCTGTTTTATAGTGTTGGAAAAGGCAAGTAGCAAATCAGGGTTGTGTTCCACCAACGCAATACAAAAGTGGATGTCTGACATCAACTGAGAAACGAGAGTCTTATTTTGATCCGTAAATGATACCTTGTCCATTTCTGAGCCACCGACATCAAACATTGGTTTGAGCAAGTGGAATTTGCACCACCGGTTGGTAACATACAAGTCGGGGATCTTTTCTATTTTCAGGTTTTTGAAAACAACAGAGATGTGCCTGCATAGCAAGCCGATGCGTTCGTAGTTTTTGCAAGTGCAATGTGCGGTCCCATCGCGTTCACATTAACGGACAGTCGATATCATCCCACTTACATCGCTGATCTGATACTCGGAAGCATCCTCACTGTTTTGGATGCATACAATAGAGCATGAAAAGCATGATGCACAGATCTCTTTTTGCACATCATAAAAGACAGAGAGAGTGAATAAAGATGCAGCGTGTTTCTCAATCTTTAATGGGGTTTTGAACACTGGAATTCCCAGCTCGGATTCTGAGTTCAAACAAGTAAATTTGAACCGTTGGGCCTCTATTGCACTCTCAAATTGCATTAATAATTCAACTAGGCTAAAGTTGCGGTCGGTGAAATCGTCAAAGAAACTATTTTCACTCTCTGATCTAGACGTAGTGCGCAATAGCCCGGCCATAAATAGATCCCTGAAATAGGCTAGAATCCAAAACTTACGTAATGTGTATAGTGACTTGAACCACGAATGCTCCGTGAGGTTGTAGTCTGCCATAACACTGTGCCATTGTGCTTTCCATTCTTTTTTGTCCAAGTAATGAGTCCAGACAACCTGATTAATGCGATTCATGAATTCCGTATCCTTGCTTAACACTGGACCAACTTTCCCTGATAGTTTGTTCATAATATGCCACATGCAATAGCGATGCTTGGTTTGTGGTAAGACTTCTTGTATTGCAATTCGCATTGAGGGATCTTGATGAGTTATGATGCATCTTGGAGCATTCCCCATCGCGTTCATGAATGATCTCAACAACCATGAATATGACTCAGTGTCCTCGCTTGACAGTATGCCAAAGCCGAATGTCACACATTTTTTATGGTTATCGACACCAGTGAACAGAGCGAATATCATCATGTACCTACAACAAGTGATAAGGACATGGATAGTGCTATGAATCAACAAAGAGTTGCATGCTATATTCGTATAAGGTGAGATGTAATAAATGGAAATTAATAGATGTGTGACCTGTTGGTTTTATATGTGGCATCAAACGAGACAACATCACCAAACAGGGAGTAGCTTTTCCTAGAAGCAGCGTCACACCAAAATAGCCTGGAAAGCTTGTCGTACTCGTCAACTTCACAATCAAACCTAAATCCAGGGCATACTTCTGATTTTCGGAATAATTTGTCAATGACCATTTGAGCATCTCCACCAGCAATATAGGCCTTCAAATCGCGTTTGAAGTTTTTGAAGTCCACAGCGGGTGCACCAACACTTGAATACCCACCAACGGACTCTTTGAAAAGTCGGTATGATTTCATGGTGCCAATGTTCGCTTTAGCACAGTTGAGTATGAACTTCTTATGGCCTAGATCAATGTTCCTATTGATCTTCAAAAATGGCCTGTAGGGGAGAGAAGTGAGTGGATGATTGTGCTATTCTTCGAATAAGCTGAGAACGTAACCATCATGTCCAAGGATGCGAAATGCAACACGTGCCATACAGCCTATACGCTTAGATATGCATCTTCTTCTCACAGGTTTAGGTAACGCAGCATGTGCATTGTCATGTGATGCATCGTTGAGGGAGATTGTGGGAACATGTTTTTTACCCTCGCGACTACATACAACGTATTGCAAAACAACGAAGCCCTTTTTTGTTGGAACACACTTTGCACGTTTAACTAAAGTCGTGTTCATTTCTGACAGGTTTTGATAATTGCCAAACCGCCGTGGATATAAAGAGTTTCGTTGAATAAATCAAGGCGCGAAGAATGGCATGGAACAAGACTCAAGGACAAGATCAAGAATTGAAGACTTAGTCGAGTCGGTCTTTTGTGATCAAAACCAACAATCAATTCAAGTCTCGGTTCTCAAAGAGTCAAAATAATTTTACAAAATCATAAAATATTTTTGTGCATCAAAATAAACATTTTTGATAAATTTTTATTGTTAAAATCCCTGGTCCTTGCTCAGAACCAAAATCACCTAAGTCGGCGTACGGTGTTCGGCGTTCGGTTTTTGTGGCGCCCGAACCAACTCCGTGGTTTTCAATGTTTTAAACCTCGTTTTTATCTATGAGCATATTTAAAAGGTTCCCAAATAATTATTTCATAAAAACCACTTTTGTATCTTGGTCAATCGGTCTAACACGTGAAAAACGGTCAAAACCGTACGCACGTGATGTACGACCTTGGAGACTTGGTTTTTACCGAACAAGTCTTGTTTTCACTATTTTATACCATATGCAATGTTTTTCAAACTTGGTTTTTACTTTTGGGAACACTTTGTTTTTTGGACCTCGGTTTTTCAAAACGGGTTTCAGTGGGCTAGACTTTAGCTGGGTGATAATCGATTATCACCTTAGTGATAATCGACTATCAGCCCCTGCAGCTTTGAACTTCCAAAGTTCTGAAGCACGTAATAATCGATTATCACCTAGGCAATAATCTATTATCATTCTTTGCAGCCAAAACCCTAAATCTTCTGAGAGGACCAATAATCGATTATCACTTGTTGACAATCGATTATCTGGGTTACCGTTGTCCTCCAACGGATAGAATTTTAAATTTTTGGACAAGGAATCTTTTGATAATCAATTATCAAGTTTGGATAATCGACTATCAGCCTGTGTCTCTGAAAAATTTGTCTTCATCTTGTTGGAAATTCTAGCAACGGATTTATCCCTTTTTGGGCTATAAAATGGCACCCAAATCCTCTCATTTAACATACAATTCTTCAACATTTCAATACTCTTTCATTGCATAAACATTCTTATTTTTCATAGCTATTTGAGAGCCAATTCTTGAAGAAATTGTCGTGTTCTTGAGCGTTTACTAGTTCACTCATATCTACTCTTTGTGAGAGTTTTATTCCTGAGTGTTTAAGTGATTTTATACACTTTAAGGGAGGTTGTTCCCTTGTTGTAAACTCGAAGGAAGTTCTTTGTTCCTTCGTGAGAAGTCTTGGAGTGCGGTATCTCCGAGCAAAGGCGTTGAGGCTCGTGTGACTCGGGTTCTCAAGTTGTATCGGTTTGTTAAGGCACCCTTAAGCTTAACAGAGTTAGTGTAGCTCGAGAGAGTCTCTTGGGAGGCTGGATTAGCCACACGTTGTGGTGAACCAGGATAAAATTCGGTGTGCTCCTTCCTTACGCTCTTTACTTTATCGCTCTCGTTTTTAATTTCCTGCGATTTTGTTTTCAACGCTATTCACCCCCCCTCTAGCGTTGGGCCTTTATTCTAACAATTGGTATCAGAGCCTTACTCTCTGAAAGACTTAACCGTTTGAGAGAAACGATCAATGGCTTCTACTCAAAACTTATACGCAGGTTAAGAGAAGGGCAATCCACCACGAGGCCTCCATTATTTGATGGAACGAATTACACATATTGGAAGGAGCGGATGAGAATTTTCATCCAATCAAACAACTTTCTCCTATGGAGAATTATCAAGAATGGGGAAGAAGTGCCCATGAAGAAAGTTGGGGAAACCACCGTTCCCAAAACCGAAGACGAATACGATGCATAGGATAACAAGAAAATAGAGAACAACGCCAAGGCTATCAACATTCTTTACTGTGCAGTAAATCCGGATGACTACCGGAAAATTTCATGTTGCTCGACCGCTAAGGATATGTGGGACAAACTCGAAATCACATATGAAGGTACGAATCAAGTCCGAGAAGCTAAGATAGATTTTCTAACCCATGAATATGAATTGTTTCGTATGAAGGAGAATGAGAAAATCGATGAGATGTTTGAACGATTCTCCAAAATCGTTAATGATCTCCATGCTCTCAAGAAGACGTACACGGACAAGGAGCTTGTGAGAAAAATCCTGCAAAGTCTCACACCCGAGTGGGGCTCTAAAGCCGATGCCATTCAAGAATCTATCGACATCACCAACGTCACCATCGACAGACTAAGAGGTAATCTCAAAACCTATGAGTCTACCATTCTTTATCCCTCTCTAGGTGAACAAAAGAAGAATGGGACTGCCCTCAAGGCATCTACAAGCCAAGTGTTAGAATAAAGGCCCAACGCTAGAGGGGGGTGAATAGCGTTTAAAACAAAATCGCAGGAAATTAAAAACGAGTGCGTTAAAGTAAAGAGCGTAAGGAAGGAGCACACCGAATTTTATCCTGGTTCACCACAACGTGTGGCTAATCCAGCCCCCCGAGAGACTCTCTCGAGCTACACTAACTCCGTTAAGCTTAAGGGTGCTTAACAAACCGATACAACTTGAGAACCCGAGTCACACGAGCCTCAACACCTTTGCTCGGAGATACCGCACTCCA